TTTTTCCTCAATTGATTTGACACATTTCTCCAAACTCAGGTCACTGTTCTCAAAACAGTTAACACAGTGATCTGAATACTTTGTAATTTTCCTGAACAGATTGAACGTTTTCATTCATTTTTACAAATTACAAATCATGCAAATAATTTTCTCAAAACAATGTGCACAAAACTCTGAATTTTTTTTCACAATAGTTAATACAACCAACCAATACCAAATTTAAAATAGCTGAAAAAAGGGTGTAGACTGATTGTTGATAGTACAGATTCTTAGTCCTCCTGGGACAACTTCTGTTACTTACTGTAAATGTCCAAACATTTTTCAGAATTGAAGTTTGAGATCATTCAGGTGGACAATCAAGATGATTTTAAATGGAATAGCAGCATTGTTGACATAGTGGTCCAGAACAACATCACCAGCCTCAAAGGAAGAGTGGAGATGTTGAGACAGGAGCTTGTCAAACATGGATTCAAACTTCTTACATTTTTTTCTGCTATGATGCAAGCGCAGCAAATATGTAGTCTAGATAAAATGCAATGAAATTCTCTTCCAGATGTAAATGAAATGCAAGATCAGTAATTCAGGATAATTCATGTATACAGCAAACACACACATGTGTATATACAGTGGTGGTCAAAATTATTAGAACACTAGTTTTTGTTTACATAATATATGTGCGCACACACATACAGTATATATTTTGACAATATTTACATGTATTTATTTATATTGATATAATTTATATTATATTTAAATATATTTATTATACTGTATAAACAACATATTTTTCTTAAATATATACATGCATGTGTTTGTATTTATATATACATAATAAATATACACAGTACACACATATATTATGTGAACAAAAACTTTTGGTCCCACTTTATAATTAAGTGGCCCTAGTACCTGTGTACTTACATAGTAACTAGATGTGTACGTAGTATGTAACCACAGTGTAAGTACACATTGGTACATAGTATCTAGAGCTGTAATATTTCTGTAACTACACACATGTAACAACCCTCCGAATGGTTTGTGTAAGTACAAATGTGTAACAGGACATATATAACTACATTTTGTAACAACAATATTTATAAGAGTAATTGGAACAATTTGATCCAGGGGGTGGAGATGGGTAGGTTTAGGGATATGTAAAGTGGGAGGAGTTGGATCTCAAGTTGGTGCACCACTGTAATACCAGTGTACTTACATGGTAACTGCTCATGAACTGTCCACTTAATATAAAGTGTAACATTTTGAACACCAACCACAATATATATGTAAAGCCTAACTTACTGGCCGCTGCTGTGTCAGAGTAATTACATGGTAAATCCATAGGAACTGTTTACTTAACCTTCAAGTAAAGTGTTACCGGAATTGTTTACTTAATATAAAGTGTAACACTTTCTTTATCAAAAAGTGCTGTTAGTCATGTTACACATTTGTACTTTCATTACCAAAAAGTGTTGTTACCAATGTCCTGTTACACATTTGTATTTACACATACCATTCAGTGGGTTGTTACATATGTGTAGCTACACAAACATTACAGCTGTATATACTATGTACCAATGTGTACTTACACTGTGGTTACATACTATGTACACATCTAGTTACTTTGTAAGTACACCGGTATTAGGGCCACTTAATATAAAGTGGGACCAAACTTTTATTTTGAATGCGATACAGCACTAATATACAGTATATATATATATATATATATATATATATATATATATATATATATATATACAGAGG